AGCTCACAAAGACGGCCTCCCTGGCCCCGAGCCCGCAGGCTTCCGTAGCTCCGGCCCTTCCCCACCCCCACAAAGTCCTGGGGTTCCTTCCGCCGGCGGCGAGACCCTCGGTCCTCCCGGCAAGTAGCCGGCGTCCCCGGACTCGGACTCGAGCGAAGGTCCCTGTGAACGCCCAGGGAGAGAGGGTGCCAGGCGAGTTCGGTCGCTATTTAAAGGACCGCCCGCCAGCGGCTCCAAGCGCCTCTTTCGGGCTCTTCCACTCGGAAGGGAAGGAGCGAGGAGCAGGCCAAACGCCGCCCGCCGAGGCCGCGAGCTGCTCACGGCACCCGCGGCTCAGCCAAGCCGTTGTTTTAAACGAGCAATAAAAATGAATTATGACTAAACGCCTTCTAACTTAATGCTTTCGGACGGGGATCCCCGGCAAATACGTAAGAGGATTTTTATTTGTGCATGTGTTCCTGCAATTGATCTCTTTGATGACATTCTCATTCATAGAAAGCGTTTGATTTATGAGCGTAGGACGAATCGCAACCAGCAGAGGCTCAGCCCTGGCTAAACCCGCCGGGGTCCTCGCCAGCCTCCGCCGCCCCCGGGATTTAGGAGGCAACAGGGTGGGGGAAGGTAGGGAGCAAGCCCCTGGAGAAAGATCCCGATTTCATCATAACTTACAAGCCTGCGCTCTTAGGAGCCGGGCTCTTAAACCAACCCGCCCCCACACATGTTGCTCTGCGTTTTCTCACGGTGAGGAGCCGCCTGCACCGAGCTCGGGAAGAGAAGCGCAGACGTGGGGAGACATGAGCCGGGGGGCAACAGAACCACCCAGGAACATACCCCCGTTCACATTTTATTGATATTTCATTGAAAGTGCTTGTACGCTTTCTCTCTCTAGACTACTTAATTGATAACCTAGGGTGCAGAAACACTTGGTTTTCCATCTCAACTTGCTAACCTGACTTCAAAGCTTTAATGCCCCATTATTTGCCATATAAACAGATTTAAGAATGAAATATTGATTTTTCTGACCCTGAAAAAATAATAAAAAGAATCCTCGAATGACTGAACCAGAGGGCTGGAAAGAAGCCTTTCTGAAGTGTATTTTCCAGCCAGTGACCATCATTTTTTTTATGTTGTTGTTGTTTTTTTTCTCCCCCCTCTGTTTTTTAGGACTGTTTGCTGGACCCATCCACAGCTGGGAGACTAATCAGCCATACTGAAAATGTTCGACATTGGTGGGGGAGGGGTGGAATGTAGCTGTTTGAAACAAACGTGTATAAATAAATGAATTGTTGACCTGGAGATTGGTAGCTTGTTCAAGAAAGTCCATGTCCCTGGAGTTGGGGGTTTCTGTAGGCACTTTATTGCTCCACTTTCAAAAGCTTGGGCTGGGCCCAACTCTGAGGCTTCCTCATCCTGTTTCTATGACCAAGTTACATCTATGGCTTGAACCTCTACAATGAAAAAACAAATCCATTCCCCTGAAAGAAAGAAAGAAAGAAAGAAAGAAAGAAAGAAAGAAAGAAAGAAAGACTTCTCAGATGCCCTAACCATTTTCTGGATTTCTTTTCTGATGCCGTCTATTGAAAATTTTGAACATGCCCCCTTAATAAATATATTAAAATTGAAAAAGAAGATGAATTGTGACCAGAATTTTATTTACCAAGTTAGACTAAAAGGAGAAAAAGAAACCATTAGGAGCTTTGAGAAAGGGGGGGAGAAAAAAAAAAAAGAAAGCTGCTTATAGCAAAGGAGAATTTATTCTACCAAAAATACGCATGACAATGCATCCTAATGTAATACAAAAATAAAAAGAAAGTGAAGATACAGTTGTATGGTCACTTTCTTGCAGGCCTCATATATTGCTTTCAGTAAATCACAGAGGGGGTTGTTGGATTAGATTTAAAACAACTAAAACTCCAAAGTAACCTGTAAAAGACGCCTCTGAGACTGGGTCAGGGGCCTTGCTAAACAGAAAATCTCCAACATTTAGAGGAGGAAGAGGGTAAAAAATAAAATAAAAATCAACTCTCAGAATAAAAGAAGGCCAAACCACCTGGTCAAAGGGGTTTTTGTTTTGTGATGCTTTGTTTTGCTTTAATGTTTTTAGTAATTCAGATGCTGCAAGTCAATTGTGGTGAGTGTGTCTGTGAAAAAGTCAAAGCTGTCAGCTGAAATATCTACAGGGCTGTCGAGGGAACCTGGCAAGCTGGGCGAGACTGCATCTGAAAGCTGCAGGCAGGAATCTGTGGAGAAAACGCTGAAGTCCTGCAAAGAGGGGACCTCGAGGGCCTCGGGACTGTCATTGTTTAGGCCCGAGCCACAGTTCTGGCCCATTGTTGACAAGCAGTTGGGAACAGTGGGTGACTGGTGCTGAAAATGTTTCAGATTTTTCTCATTGCTGGTTAAAGGCGAAACGGGGAAACTCGGGGAGTCGCCATTGTGTCCGTTGGGAGCCTGCTGCTGGGAGAGGGCGTTCTGCTGGAAAGTGTAGCCTTCCCTCTCCAGAAGGGCCCCCGAGACGCCCAGGGCTTGCTCGAAGAGCGACTTCTCCTCCTCGTCCTCCTCCACCTTCTCCGAGTCCTCCAGGCTTTTGAATTTCCCCTCGCTGTGCTGGTTCTCCTTGCACTGGGTCTGCCTCTTGTGCTTCATCCTGCGGTTCTGAAACCACACTTTCACTTGTCTCTCAGTCAGATCCAGCAGCGCCGCGATTTCCACCCTCCGGGGTCTGCAGAGGTACTTGTTGAAATGAAATTCTTTCTCCAGTTCCAAAAGCTGCGTGTTGGTGTACGCCGTCCTCAGGCGCCGGGAGCCCCCTCCGCTGCCATCGGCCACTTCCAGGGACTCTGCGGAAAGGGAAACCAACGAGAGACACGCGCACAGTTGGAGGCGGAGGGGTCCGAGTGGGGTTAGTCCACTGGAGAATAAATATAGCAGAAAAGATCAACGGCAACAAAATGGCCGCCCCTGGATGCAGCAGAGCTATTGTGCTGCCTTTCCTGGGAGCCCAGCCCGGGGACACCCCATCTCTCCCACCTCCGCCCGATTCCTGCCTGCAGCTCCCCCCAACCTCTCCATCCGGGAGCAAACTTTATATTAGCCACACCACAATTTATAATTAATGCATCAGCTGCTTAGCTGAGCAAGAGCGATCTATCACTCTTCATTACTGTCAAAAAGCCAAACTCTAGGACAACTAGACAAGAGGAGGTCAGTTCCAACTCAAATAAATCATCCCACATTACACAAGTTAGGGAAAGTTCCTCCCCCCTTCTTAAAAATATATATGTCTCCTTGCGGAGCGCAGGGTGCCTCTTCTCTCCATCAAACCCACTCCTGAGCCCACAGAGGAAGGGAAGGCAGCCAAGCATCTCCTTCTCTCCCAGCCCACGTTCCCCTCCCCCCAGAACCGCTCCCCGGGCAGCCCCGGCGGGGAGCGGGGTCCCGGGACTGGGGGCCAGGTCTGTGCACTGACCTTTGT